CTCCGGTGCATATGCCCTACAGCAAAAACGTCTTTAAAAATAAATGGTTGGAGCTGGCAGGTGGCATGGTGGTTGGAACACTGGACTCCTACTTGGCCGACTGCAATTTGAGTCCTGGACCTGGCGGCTTGCTTTCTTACTTTCTCTTTCTCTCTGGTGTGCACTAGTACCTATCTTTAAAAAATAAATACAAGTTAAATAATTTTTAAAATTTTAATTTTGTTATTACTTATTTTTTTTAATTTGACCAGAAAGACAGAGGGAGAGAGAAAGGGAAAGTGAGAAAGCAAGCTGCCTGGTCCAGGACTTGACCCATCGTCAGCCACATGGGAGTCCAGCAGCTTAACCACTATGCCACCTGGCCCCCCCTTTTTTCAAAGAATTACTTTATTTCATTTATTTACTTAAACCAGAGAAGGGAAGGGGTGAGAGAGAGAGAGAGAGAGAAAGGAAGCCGCCAGGTCCAGGACCCGAACCTTGGCAGGCCACGTGGGAATCCAGCGCCCTTAACCACCATGCCACTTGACAGCCCCAAACTTAGCTTTTTATTTATTTATTTTTTTTTGGGGGGGCGGGGGGGTTTGCTATGGGCGTGTACGCTTGCCAGAAGGACAGAGAGAGACAGAGAGACATAAAGCTAGAAATCACCCCCTGGGGGGATGCCCACGCTGCAATCCTTTCTCCATTCTCCTCTCAGGATCTTGGGTGCACATGTAACCATTACACCAACTGCTGGTCCCAAAGTTAAAAAAAAAAAAAAAATTTTAAAGACTTTCTTTTTTTGGGGAGGTTTTTGCTATAGGGTGTGTGTGCTCGCCAGCCAGCCAGCCAGACAGAAAGCAAGAAATCACCCCCCCAGGGGGATGGCCATACCGCAATCCCTTCTCCTCCATTGTCCTCTCAGGATCCTGGGCATGCATGCACACGTGCCCAGTGTGAGTTTAAGCCACCGGGTCTGGGGGCTGGTCCCTAAAAAGACTTTTCGATCTATTGGGGCAGGAACTCACAATCACCTGGCTGGCCACTTAGGAGTCTGGCTACCTTAACCATCAGGCCACAGGGCCAGACCCAGCCTGTAATTTAATGACCATCACAGTACTAGATGAGTGGTCTTTGAAATCTATTGCTCATGAATCAGGTGACAAAAGGGGAGTCTGTACTGAAGAGTGAAGACCTATGGCCAAGACCACTCAGATAGTGAAGGAATACGGTGCTGGGGCCAGGGATGACTAGACCAAAAATACCTGTAAAGTAGAATTCGAGTTCCTGAAATGATTCAAGTAATTCCAACAAAGGGTATTGGGGGTTCACAGAATTCTCAGAGCTCAATGGCATGAAGAGCAGAGGTCTCAAAGGGCCTCCCTTTATATCCTCAAAGGAAGGGAATTTCATGGGGGAGAGAGCTTGATTCTGGACTG